AAGAGCGTGTGTCTCGCGGCCCATTGTCTCACGAGAAAATACCCTGGTGTGGTGCCTGGGACTTCCCCGGCGGTCCAGTGGTTAAAGACTTCACCTTCCAATGCAGGGAGTGCAGGTTCGATCCCTGGTCAGGGAGCTAAAATCCCACATGCCTCTCAGCCAAAAAACCAAAACATAAAAAACAGAAACAATACTGTAACAAATTCTATATAGACTTTAGAAAGGGTCCACATCGAAAGAAAAAAAAACTTGATAAAAAGAAAATACCCTGGTGTGAATGCAAAATTTGAAACATCAATTTGCTCCAAAACTGCTGACTCTCTTCCTGGTTTTGTCGTCTAGAGCAAGGTCCGAGGTCCCGTCAGTGGAAGCCCGGACAGCATGAACACGTCCCGCCTAAGTCACCCCAGCCAGCTGCTGTCGCAGCCTTGCCCAGCCCCTGACAGCTTACCCGAGGCCGTCACGAAGAGGTGCGTCCCCATTCGCCGTGCCCAGTGCAGGAGTCAGGGGCGCGTCGGTCACCCGTCAGCGGTTCTGTGCGTGTTCCTCGTTGTTTGTTCCCTTTGCCGGGTGCTGTGGGGACAGATGTGGCGTTTTGCTCTCAGAGCTCCTCCTGACTTGCCAACTAAGGTTTCCTCTTCTGAGGTCGGGTTGCTCGTTGCTGCATGGGAACCTGGATGTGCTGGCCAGTCCCTGCTGTCCACTAGTCCACCCGTCGCGGTCCGCTTGTAGAACCAGGTCCCTGCGGGCGTGCCCTGGCTTCCACGCCTGAGTCGCGTGTCACTGGTCCCTCCCGTGGCCTCTCCCTGCCCCACTCATCACCTGCACCCCCGCCGCAGAGCTGGGAGCAGAGCCCCAGAGCCCTTCCAGTGAACTTTTCCCTCCCTGCTTCCCCCCCAGTGCTGCCTCCAGGCCCCCCTGGTCAAATCAGCCTTCACAGGAGACCATTTTGATCGAGTTATTCCTCAAGTTATTTAGGGACCAGCCATGGCTTCCTGCTGCCTCAGGGTCCAAGCCTGAGCCTTCTCAGGCCTTCAAGCCACCTCTGCATTCTGACCCACTGCTCCGGGGCAGATTCCTGGCTCTGCCATCAGGGGTCTTAAAGGCTGGTCCAGACCAGCAGTATTGGAGGGTTCTGGGTACTTGCCAGAAATGCAGATGTGGGATCAGGAGCTCAGGGTGGGGTGGAGCAGTCCTGTTTAACCAGCCCTGGCTGACCCTCCTGCACGCTGAAGTTCCAGAACCTCGGCTCCGCTGACGCCTTTCCCCGGAGCCATCCTACCTCTGCTCCCACCTCCTCCACGGCCCTGGCACACAAGCACAGGGATCCTTGTCCTCCTGGACCACCTATGGGGTTCTTTTGTTTCTGGTTCAGTCTCACATTTTTTTTTTTTGCGATATGTGGGCCTCTCACTGTCGTGGCCTTTCCCGTTGCCGGACGCGCAAGCTCAGCGGCCACGGCTCACGGGCCCAGCCGCTAGGCGGCTCACGGGCCCAGCCGCTACGCGGCATGTGGGATCCTCCCAGACCGGGGCACGAACCCGTATCCCCTGCATCGGCAGGCGGACTCTCAACCACTGCGCCACCAGGGAGGCCCCAGTCTCACATTTATTCAGCACCTTCCCTTTGCTGGGCCCCAGGCACTGGAGACGGTTAAAATCGGTTCCTGTGGGCAGATCTATAGAATGGAAAATACATTAATGATTGCCAGGGGTAGGGGGCGGGGCAGGGATGGGGAGTGACTGACGACAGGTACAAGGTTTCTTGTTGGGTGATGAAAACGTTCCAAAACTGGATTACCAGGATGGTTGCACAACTCCATAAATGTACTTGAACTATGGAATTGTGCACCTTAAATGGGTGAACTTTATGGTTTGTAAATTTATCTCAATACAGCTGTTTAAAAAAATCCTGTTCCTGTACCTGGGGGGTTTGTAGCCTCTACTGTTCTGGATTTTTTATTTTTAATTTTTTTAAATTTTTTATTTTTTTTGCCGCTTGGCTGGGGGGGTCTTAGTTCCCCGACCAGGGATTGAACCCGGGTCCTCAGCAGTGAACACGCAGAGTCCTAACCACTGGACTGCCAGGGAAGTCCCTGTTTTGGATTCTTAATTCTCTCCCCAACTTACTGTTAGCTCCTTGAGGATGGTAACCAGGTCCCACACCTCTCACAGGGCCTCTGGGGCCGGCCCAGAGCCTGGAGCCTGGTTAGTAGTCCATGGATGAGTCTGGGCAGCGCTGCGCTCTGTTCCTTCCATCAGTGCCCCCTTCACGGTGAGAGGAGGGGATCGAGGGCCCTTCCTCCTGGGTCTGTCACTCTCTTTCCATGATATCCTCAAAGCTCTGGAGAAGTCGTCCTGGGGGCACAGGCCGCTGTCTGTGTCTCCACGCCCTCGAGCCAAGGTTAGAAAGGACACATGGATCGCTCTGCTCTCCTCTTTCTCACCGTGGCTGGTTCTCAGGGGGACGCGAGCATTTCTCATCAGAGAGAATGAGAGAGCGCAGTAAACAAATCAGTTCCCAGAACTTGCTTCCCCCAGATCTCAACGAGCTGGGGACATCTGGGGAAATTGCATGGTGTGTATATTTTTGTCCATTTCAAAAAAATGCAAAACAGGTGGTTCGGGAGAGATCTTCAGATTATGGCAGTTTGGAGAGAATCTAGTTAAGTCAGAAAGAGCTTTGTTATTAAGGCGGGTCGCTGCTTTTTCACATGGTGAGCAGTGATGCTCGTAGCTGGATTCGAGCTTCTGTGACAGCACTTAACTAGACAGATGAAATCACTTAGGCAATAACATGGTGTTTTAAGACACTCAGCCTCAGAATAATTATTTAATTTTTAAAATCTTTCCAGAAGCTCTTTAGCGTATTTGTAAACACTTCTGAAAAGTTAACACTGACCACGTTCTAATAATTCAATCGTTTTTTTTAGTGAAGACCTCGTGGCTGAAGCACACACCCTGTGCACCCAGCTGGAAAACGCCCTACAGGACACCATGAAGGACCAGGACCAGAGCTTAAGGGTAATGGCCCGTGGGAAGCCCCGCCACCCCACACCCTTTCTTTCTACAGCGAACGAGGAAAAGCAGATGGAAAGGCGATGCCGTGCTTCCTCGATCTCAGTGTACACTTAGGATTTTCTAGTACATACTTCTTATTCACCATGATAACAATGCTGATGCCTGTTGAATGTGTACAGCTACTTTGTGCACATTATCTCATTTCATCCTTGCTACACTCACTCCTTACGAAGAAGGTAGCATCATTGTGAGAAGGCCTCTCCCCTGCTGCACCTTCTGTACAATTGCCGGGCATCTGTGTGTGGGGTGCAGTGCTGGGCTCCGGGAACAAAGCAAGAGCCCGTCACCACCCCGCCTCTCAGGGACTTGGGGCTTAGCAGTCCTAGTTAGAGGGAAGCTGACCTAAAGAAAAACGAGTCCATATGCAGGTATGTTGAGACAAAGCTGAAATCGCTGAGAGGATGCTAAATCATCCGCTAGATCATCCGCTTGGCTCTCTGGCCTTTTCCTGCCAATACAGTCACATGCTGGCGTCTCCGGAACTTGTGATTTGGGGGAAGAATCGGAGGTGATACTGCTCACTGTAACCACTTCTCATGTATTCAAGTGTCCTTCTCCGGTTTGGGGCTTTCTGTGTCTCTTCTTGCTGTTCTTCCTCCTCCGAGCCGTGTGTACTTCGATCCTTTCACTGCCCGTTTGCACTTCTGCCAGAGGAAAAGGAAGTCTGACCAGGCCAACTCACCTGGTGAGGTTGGAGGTCGAGAGCTGAGATTAGCCCAGGGTACCAGCTGCCCGCAGTGAGCGTGAGCCAGTGCTGTGAGCTACAGTAATAATACTTAAATCACCTTCCCGGAAGCTCAGGGCTCCAAGCCCATCCGAAGAAAAGCTCCGGCCCGGTCTTGCAGACATAGCTCTACCTCAGGGGTACCCTGCAGAGACAAGACTGTCTTAACGAGAGGAATTCAATTTCCCTCTAAACTGTGCTGGTTGCCTCGCAAAGAAGGCAGATGTCTAGGTGGCCACGGTGTCTTTAACATGCCCGTTGACTTTCAGTCTCTAGACTGGAGCTGGTTGCAGTCGGGGGAGGAGGAGCAGCACAGCCTGGAGCGGGCCTCCTGACGGGGGGCAGCCCCCACCCTGCCGGGCTGCCTGGCCCGAGGCCTCCGGGCCCTGCCGCGTCGCGTCCAGTGTCCTCGGCACCCAGATGGAGATCTCGCTTCCCCAGCAGCCATGACCGTCACCGTGGACCGAGGGTGCAGCCCTCCGTGGCAGTGCCAGCAGCTTGTCTGCACGCTGGACGTCCTCCGCCACAGAGGCCCAGCAGACGTGGATGCCGAGCGTGGCGTCTGGGGAGGTGGAGCCACGGCAGCCACTGCCTCTGCGCGGAGAGAAGTGCTCCAAGTACGGTGGCTCCACAGACCACTGGCCACACGTCTAACTGACTTTTAGGATGAAGTATGAACGGCACTTGGTGCTAGCTGTCCTCTCCTGACCCCTCCTGATCTCCAGAGGCCTCATCTACCTGTCTTCACAGTTAAGGTTTCACCTGGATCCGGCTTCTCTTGAAACCGTGGATTCGGCCCAGCCCGGTCCTCCCTCCTCTTCTGACTTCACGGCTGCTAACGTCTTCCTTCTGCCTACGACCTTGGGCCGGGTTGGGTGAGTGCTGCTTTCCCCGTCCGGAGTCTCGCCAGCCAGAGTGAGTCGCTGGTGCCAGGACGGGAGAGCGTCTCCCTTCCTGTGGGTCCCGAAGAGTCCCCGGGAGCAGGTTGCCATGGAGAAGAAGGAAAGAAGAGGCGGGTGTCTGTCAACCACCCGCTTGCTGACCCTGTGCCCACAGCCCCTGCCCCTGGTGCGGCAGGGTGGACGGGGCAGCTCCCATCCCTCGTATCATCCAGCGGTATTATTAAATGGATTTATATTTAAAAAACAGATCCTCTGTTTTGTGACATGACTCAAGTCCCACAGTCTATTTTTATAATACCTCTGGTTGGGACTTCTGAGCTCAAAGCCCAGCTTTAATGGAAAGTTTTATGAAATTGAATGGTGCCTGATCAAACAGTGCCAGAGCACCGCACTGCCTCTTGGACGTTTCACAAAAGCTGCTCCTTCCTATAACAGCAGGAAAGCAAAGTGAGTTCAGGTGATAACAAACAGGCAAGTCTGGTTGGAGAAGAAAGTGGGACGAGAAGAGTTTCACAGAGTGCCTTCCGTGGAGGCGGTACAGTGGGTTCTGTGTCAGGGAAGTTTGGGAAACGCTTCATGCTTTAACTGCCTCTTGGAGGTTCACCTTGTGCACTGGTTTATTACAGAATCTGAAAGATCTATAATAATAAACTGGCTTAAATCTGCCTAAATCCACTGTTTACCCAACTCATTTGACAGTGGAGCCTTTTTTTTCTTTCTCCCGTGTGCAAGTAACATTGATTAACGTCCCAAAGAACTGAGTTTGATAGCAAACTTGAGTTTGGAAACACTGGTGAGGAACACAGTGGGACATTATACCAGAGAGGTAGGCTGGGACAGGGTCAGATTAGGGAGGGAATGAATGTGGAGTTAAGAGTCAGGGACTGACTTTATAGGCAGTTGGGAACCACTGAAGAATTTTGAGCAAGGAAGGACATCACCAAAGCTAATGTTTAAAACGAGTGATGTAACTGGAATATGCTAATTGGTTGAAAAAGTGAAAATTCTGGAGGTAGGACTTCCACTTCCAAAACGTGGAGCAGATGTACTTTTTTCCTATTCCTCCTGCTAGTACAGCTGAGATCCTTGGACGTTATTTATAAACAAAGATAAGAAGACCCCAAAAGGCAGTGAGAAGGAGGCAGACCAGCTAGGGACCTTGGCCCTGAGTGGTCATGTGGTGATGAGTTCCCTGGGTTTCCCTCTTGCCTCCTGTGTCCCTGACGGAGGCTGGAGATGCCGACCAGTGGCACAAACAAAGAAGCTGCTCTCCAACTCAGATTCCTAGGTCTGCTGTAACAAATCACCACAAACTATATGGCTTAAAACAGACATTTATTCTCACAGGTCTGGAGGCCGAAGTCTGAGATCAAGTCCTCCAGAGTCCCTAGGGGAGATTCTGTTCCTTGCTTCTTCCAGCTTCTGGTGGGTCCAGGAGATCCTTGACTTGGTGGCTGCATCTCTGCCCCTGTGGTCACATTGCCGCCTCTTTTTCTATAGTCAAATCTCCCCTGTGTACCTTTCATAAAAAACCCTCGTGATTGAATTTAGGGCTGATCTGGATAATCCAAGATAAGTGCCTAAGAGGCACATAATTTGATCAAGACCCTTAATTTGATCTCATGTTTTACAATATAAGGCGATATTTATAGATTCTGGGGATTAGGATGTGGACATTTCTTCCTGGGGGGCCACCATTGAACCCACTACAGTCCACCATCTAGCCCCCCAAAATTCACATTCGTCACATGCAAAATACATTCACCCCATCCCGAAAAGTCTCAATCCACAACAGAATCAACACTAAGACCAAAATCTAAATATCATGAGCTCAGAAGTCTTGAATCTCATCATCTACGTCAGGTTTGGCAGGCTCTGGGCATGATCCATCCTGTGACAAAATCCCTCCATCTGTGGGCCTATGAAACTGGAAAACAATTTGTCTGCTTCCAAAATACAATGGCGAGATAGGCATGTGATAGGCATTCCCATTCCAAAGGGGAGAAATTGGAAGGAATAAAGGAGTCACTAGCCCGAAGCAAGTTTGAAATCTACCAGGGTAAATTCCGTTAGGTTCCAAGTCCTGAGAGTGATTATCTGTCACTTGAGGCTCTGTCCACCGAACCCAAGGCAGCTTCATAGGCCTCTGCCTCTGCACCCACTGCCTCTGTAACCGCTCT